TTTTTAAAGACTGTTATATTTTATAGAAATTTTTATTAGGCGGTAACTTTAACAGATCATGTCTCTTAGCCCTGCAGGCCAGCTTTTACCTTCGCTAAAGCTTGGCTTTGCCGAAGTGTGTGAGTCTTGGCGTCTTCTTTCATACTTCTTTCCGGATAAAATTGGTGGCAGACCAGCATGGCTCGCCCTAAAGCACTTGCCTTTACCTTCACATTTGGCATGCCAATACTGTGGCGAGCCCATGGCCTTCATGCTTCAGGTACTCATGTTAATTACAAATGCCAGCTGTACTCACCTATCGAAAACAATGTAAATTGTTTTCATCGGTCCTTATTCGTTTTTATATGTAAAAATGGTAAATGCTTCCAAATTGGAAATTCACCGGTCAAAGTTTTTCGCTCCCAGTTGCCGCGCATGAATGAATATTACAGGTTTCTACTGTTATCACCTAATTCCTTAGTTAGCTTTGAACCTCCTCAATGTAATACAAGGACTGAGCTTGAAGCTTTAGCTGCTGACTCCAAGTTGTCTGATCCTAGACTCTTTGGTGATATATGTCCTGTGTGTGGATGCCGAGGCGATAAAATGTGTCATACATGCAATCTGGCATCTTATTGTTCCAAAAATCACCAGGTTTTTGAGCAACTATACGCTGAATTTTTAGTTTCTTCATTGGGAGCAAGAACATAAAGCTGAATGTGTACGTGGCCCGTACAAAAACGCTTCATGTCTACCTCTTCTCATTCGTTCGAATTCGTTCCTGTTACCGGAATTTAATTTATGCTCCGAAGATGCTGACCAAAGTCAAATTCTTCAAGAAGATACGTCTGATATACCTTCCCAAATTAACTTTTGCGAGTACGTCCGACTGCGAATTACCTTTTTTAACATTAAAGTTATTTCTTATAAAAAACGTTTTTTCCCTATAATCCGCATTCACTCAACTTACCTTATACAGAGAAGATCAAGAATCGGCTGCCTTGGAAGAAATGGCGAATAAGGAAAGTGAGGAAGAGGCCCTGTTTGAAAAATTGAAGACTGCAATGATGACCGAACAGGATCAGGTAGGATGGCTTTCTTTATTGTATCCATATTTTTCTATTTTTCGTGACATTTGTTTTGTAGGTTGTACGATTTCTACGAGGTGGACAACCAATATGGTTGTCGAAATCGGTTCCTTTCATTCCATGCTGCGAGGTCTGTGGATCGGAAAGGGTTTTTGAGTTCCAGGTTCGTTTTGTCATGTTTTTTGGGGATGATCTTAATTTTTTAGATCAGCCACCAGTAAAATTTGTATTTCTTCTTTTTTGTTTGCACTTACGATTGGTTCTGCAAATTTTATTCTTCAACTACCTTTTGCTCCATTATTCTTATTGAGTTAACTGGGGACATTCCTGATCCATTACTCAATTAGGTGATTCATCATGGACTCATTATACACTGGTAATTCATCTATTGGGGCAAAACAATTCTATTAGTTTTGAATA